ACTGGCCTCGAACTCACAGAGATCCACCTGCTTCTGCCTCCCAAGTGCTGGGATTAAAGGCATCTGCCACCATAGCCCAGCTTGGGAATCAAACTCCTATCATTTATTCCTCCAGGCCTCAAAAGGGCTTTTTAATGACATTTCAGTTACAGACCAAGAACAGTTTGTTATGATATGGCGTGTGTGAGACCTTGGCGGGAGATTTATTAAAAGGGAAGAGGGAGAGAGACAGAGAGGGGAGGGGAGGGAAAGTAGGGAGAGGAAGAGGCAGGAAGACAGATCGGAAGTGGGCAGAACTTGTCTCTTAAAGGGACCTTTGCACCTGCGTACAGTCATGGACCTGCTCGCCATGCGCAGAGGGATGACTGTGCCAGTTCCCAAGGGACATGTGGATACTAACACAATTACTTCTTTTTTCCCTGTTTTTTTTTCCGAGATAGGGTTACTTTGTGTCACTCTGGCTGTCCTGGAAATCGAACTGTAGACCAGGCTGGCCTTGAATTCAGACATCCGCCTGCCTCTGCCTCCAGAGGGCAGCGATTAAAGACGTGCACCACCGAAGCCTGGCCCTTTTTTTTTTTTTAATCTTGTAGTGTTTGCGATCCAACCTAGAGCCTTGCGCATGCTAGACAAGTGTAATAATACAGTTACACTCCCAGTTTAAAGTATTTCATAATTGAGAATGACATGTGGTAGTTTCTTAGAGCTAGCCACGAACATCCTGATTCTTCTAGGGAAGATAGGACTGCGATCCCCTCACTTAGGAAGGTGAGAGGCGCTGTTATGGCAAGGGCTAGAAGGTCACAGAACTCCTTTCGGTACCTCAATAACTGTAAGTGGGAATTTAAGAAAAAATGGTCCCTGGAAGAAAACAACTTAAGGATGAGGGCTCTTTGAAAGGTTGCCTTACCTCCCTATTTTTGCTAATTGAATCTTTTGTCTTTTGCAACTATCTTTTCGCAGTTGTGGGAAAGGAATCTTGGGTACTTTCCAGCCAGGATGTGATTTTCTTGCTTAAATATGGACTCCAGGAACGGCTCACGGCTGCACTTGGGTTCAGAACACCCACCAGGTGTAGTCATCAGTAGGACGGACTCCTCCCCCAGAGCTGACACCTAGAGGGTATTTAGGACCTGATCATTGGACCTGCCATGTGCTTTCTCCTGCCTTCCTGAGAGTCATTCACAACTGCTCTGCTTTGCTGTTTATTCAATCTAGATTTATTAATTTGGCTTGATTTGATTTATTGTATCAGCAGAGGAACCCAATAACTGTGCTGAGTGGTCTTCTCTGGTAGGAGCCCAGATTAGCTTGGTCCATGAGAACAGAACACACATGTTTGATGCAGGCATTTCCAAATCCCTCTTTATAATACCACCTCCTTTCTTGTTCAGTATTAATGGCTGGCAGTGTTCAATTCTGCTGTATAAGGCCAGGCATACCATTGATATTTAGCTAAAAAATTTCAAGCTGTTAGCTTTTTAAAAACTAGACCTTAAGCACTGAGCCATTTCCCCAGCCTCATTTTTGGTATGTTTTAAGATTAACACAATGGACCATTTTTAACAAAAAATGGGCACAAATTTTAATTACAGTTCCTTTCCCCCTTAGCTCCGAGTCGTTTTCATACCCACCAGGTTATCCTATGACTAAGAAGCACACATTTCTGTTTCTGGTCTTGATCTTTTCAGTCAACCAAGCAAATTTCTCACACATTCATCCTACAAACCTCCCAACTGCTTGGTGACTTGTCTTCTCCTAAGCAGTGGTCCAAATGTCTTCTGTGTAGTTGACACAACCAGACCAGCTTGTATTTCTCACCAAGACCTCTGCAGACACTTTCAAATCCATACTGTAGACATTACCTGATGTTCTTTCAAACTTGCTAAGCTACTAACTAGCTGGCTGCCTACCCTCTCAAGTCTTCTCTAGCCGATTGCCAGCTTCCAGCTCAGATGTCTTCCGAGTTAGGCTATTCTGACTATCCAGTACAGATGTACTCAACTGCCAACACTTCCTATATAATTTAAATGCTGCTACAGCTTTAAGTCAGCTTTGGGGATAGACTAGGTTCCTTGAGAGCAGAGATAATGCCTATTTAGGGCACTCAATTTTTATTATTTTCTCTAAGTTATCCTAAATGACTAATAGGTTTTTTTTTAAAGTTTATTTTGCTGGACGGTGGTGGCGCATGCCTTTAATCCTAGCACTCAGGAGGCAGAGGCAGGCGGATCTGTGATTTCAGGCCAGCCTGGTCTATTAGTCTACAGAGCTAGTGCCAGGACAGTCCCCAAAGCTAAATAGGGAAACACTGTCTTGGAAAAAAAAGAAAAAAAGTTTATTTTATGTGTGTAAGTATTTTGCTTGCATGTATATATGTGCACTATGTGCATGCCTGGTGTCCATTGAGTCCAGAAAAGGATGCTGTATCCTGCAACTGGAGCTAGGGATGGTTGTTGAGACATCACGTAAATTCTGGGAAACAAACCTTGGCCCCTGCAAGGGCAACAAGGCTTTTAACCGCTAAGCTATCTTTCCAGCTGATAGACTTTTATTTTTAAAACTCAATACTATAGCTTCAATATTTTTCACTAAAATTTCCCTTTTACAATTCATTACCCACTTATAATCTTGATATTGATGACAGCAATATAAGCAATTTAAAATTTCCTGGTAGTGGGCTGGAGAGATGTCTCGGCCGTTAAAGCCTAGGCTCAAGACCAAAATATACAATTTATGTTAGGTCCAAATGGACCTCCCTCACACACACACACAAAAGGCAGCGGCTTGCCCTACACAGAAGGACTGTTTCTGGGTAAACAAAGGTCTGAACTCTGGGTTTGCTTATTAGAAACCTCTCTTGACCCTGTCCGGAAGTCAATCGTCAACAGCTCAAAGACACCCCCCTCCTGTTGACATAATACGATCTGCTTGCTTTCCCCCATTTTGCTTTTCTGTTCCTCCATCCCTGAGAGATAGCTTGGCAGTTTGATCTCCAATAAACCTTTCTACCATGGAATTGTCTGGCTCAGTCCACTATGCCTTTGCTCACAGTCAGCATTTAAAATTGTTGAATACCCCGTCCCACACACCTCAATAGGGCCTCATTATGTATCCCAGGCTGGCCTTGAATTCATAATCCTCTTGCTTCAGTCTTCCTTAATAGCGCCAACCCAGTATTTAAGGTGTTTTTGTCATTTGTATGAAATCTGGTAGTGAGTAAGCAAATTCATAAATCTGTCCATTACAGATCAAACTTACGAAATGCTTCTAAAATAAAAAGCTTAATTTTCAGGTTTAGATAAATGCCAGGACTTGTTCTAGGAATGTTAGATTTAATACCCACATACAGTGATTATTTCTAAACTATCCTGAAAGATGGTACTACTAATTTGGATATATGTTTATTTTATCCAGAGGTCACTGTTTTACGTACCTCAGAATATGGATAAACCTATGAAATTTTGTTGTTGTTAGGAACGGGGGTTGTCCCAAGATCTCATTTATTTTAATGTATTGGCGTTTTGTTTTTTTGTTTGTTTGTTCGTTTTTGTTTTTTGTTTTTTTCAAGACAGGGTTTCTCTGTAGTTTTGGAGCCTGTCCTGGAACTAGCTCTTGTAGACCAGGCTGGGCTCGAACTCAGAGATCCGCCTGCCTCTGCCTCCCAAGTGCTGGGATTAAAGCGTGCACCACCACCACTCAGCTGTGTATTGGTGTTTTTTCTACATGTATGTCTATGTGGCACATTGGTGCCTACTGTCTAAGAATGCTACATGAGGGTATTAGATACCTAGAAATGGAGTTACAGAGAGCTGTCATGTAGTTGCTGGGAATTGCATCTAATCCTCTGGAAGAGTAGCTAGTACCCTTAACCATAGGACCAATTTTCTAGTCCCCCAATTTTAAAAAAAGAAATAATAGTCTGTGCATGTACTTGCTCATGCACATGTATACTATGTTCACAGATGCCAGAAAAGGGCACCGGACCTCTGGTACTGAGACGATTGTGAGCTGACTACTCTGGGTGCTAGGACTCAAACAAACTCTTGGTCCCTACGAAAGCAGCAATGGCTCTTAACCTCTAATTCATCTCTCCAGCCCAGGTCTTGAACTCTGTAGTAGCCAAGAATGACATTAAACTTCTGACCCTCCTGCTCCCACTAATCACATCATACACTGGGAAATTATTGTGCATTGTGATCTAAAGGGTGGCCTCTTTGGAACTAGAAGATGTGACCACTAGATGGCACTGTTGCTGCTTTCCTTAAAAAAAAAAAAAGTAAAAAGGATCAAAGTAGTAGAACAGAAAAGATCACATTTTATCAATAAAGAGCCAAGACTTTGTTTTCACTACACAGAATTTTAATGTGAAACTAAATTAAACATACAAATATACAGTAAAGCTAATGGCAAAAGCAACCTGGTAGCTTAAGGCAAGTTTTAATGGAGATGAATTTAGAAAGGATGATGCAATGATGTAATTTTAAATATAGATTATGAAAAAAATACGAAATTGCATCAATAACTTAAAGTAGTTTTCAAAGTCTGCACTATGGAAAAAAGGGGTTTATGATCTTAATGCCAGCATTAAGACAGACAGAAGCAGTGCAGAGCTAATAAAAAAACATTCACTATTTACAGAGAGATGGCAACAACAAAATTTAATACCATGTGATCTGATTTACTGGTGGACTGGAAGCTCTTGGCTAAAAGCAGAGAAAATATACCACCAACATGTTGTTTTAAAAAATAAAATTAACTGTAGAGGTCAAAACGAAGGAGCTCTGTGATTAAAGTAATCTTAAAACACCCCTGTAAGGATCACTTTAAAAAGGTAATTCCCCAGAGGAATTAGGGCACTGAGAGTGTAAACATGTGAGCTGTACAACACCAAATACCAACCAATTCATTCATAGTACTTAGTTATACAAAGCCAGCATGATCTTTTGTAACACATTATTGTTTATAGTGATTCAAACACAATCCTTACCATGCACGACTTCAAATATATAACAAATATTTTTATTTTGAGATACAGGTATTTGTTGATGAATTATATATATACAATGAAAGACACACCTTCACAATCAAGTATCTTTATATGCTTTTTAAATGCAATGACCTTATTCAGACTTTTCTGAATTGACCATGTCAGTTTTTAAAATTCTCTAAAATAATGCCATTTTATGATAAAATACATTTTTGCAAAAATTCAGAAATGTAGTAACATTTAATGAATATGACCAAGAAAAGTATCTGTAAGCATGTGCCAAATGACTTAGCACTTTTTTCCAGTTTTATATTTAAAAAAATTGCAATTTGACACTAAGCCTATTTTAAAAATATTGTTACACTGATTCATCTCAAAATGCACTATTAATAGTCCTTTTGCAAAATACCATCATATATAACTGTGAATGTTTTACCCAGAATTAATGGAAGAAAATGTATCTCCTGCACAGATGAACATTTTCTAAGACTAATCTTCATCACCCAATATTGTTTCTACAAAAGCATGCAATATAAAATACACATGAAAGCAGCTATCTTAAACATGATTTTAATACAATTTACCTTTGTAGCTGATTCATCACTGCCTCCAGTTTAATATGCTGTTACATAGAATAAGTTCCAGTATCCCTTTTCTGATTGACTTAAAAAATAAAATCCCTGAATAAAACAGAAGCCAGCCTGTGACTTCTTTGGGCATTTCTGTAGAACATTATCACCTATGGAGAACACCTCTACCCAAACTCATGATTATAGACTAGAACTTGAAACAGATCTAAGACAAATAAAAATGAATACTAATTTAAAAAATTTATGTTTAAAAGGGCAAGAAAAGGTGAGTACTAGTATTTAAAAGGATACTGTGACTTTCACAACTGTAAACGTTTATTTTAGGAGGCGGTGGCAGACAACTTTACGCTGCTAGGTGTTTAGCTTGTAAGAAAATGCAAACACATCTTATTTGTAAAATGGTGTAGAATACAAAAAACAAAGTAATATGGAGAAAACAAACACAAAGGCTGCTCATCTAGAAGGAAGACTGTATAACCAACTCATCTGAAAGTATAAAATAATTTTAAGCAACTGCTGAAGAAAACCCTGATACAAATTTCAATTTCTTATCTTGTTCTTAAATGACATGAACTTTTAAATAAAATGGAGAAAGAAGATACTTTCAACCCAACCAAAATAATGCCAACAAGATAAGCTTGCATAGAAAAAAATTTCAAATTATTACTGGCTACATGTTTTAAAAACCAGAATGCAGATATCATAGTGCAAAACCACGGCAGCCGATGATGTCTTTTACTGCCCCAGTCACGAGATGGCCTGCAGTACCTCCAGTATCACAGTTTCTGGTCGCACAGTGTGTTACTGATACCAACTAGAAGCAGTGTGCACTAGAGATGGGTGGCACGGGTGCTGTGCTAGTATTAACGAAGCTTGAGATCATCACCACCACCTAAGTTGGAACCAGGACTAGGGTCTTGTTGTCTTCTTGCCTGCAATGACAAAATTGTAATATGAAGTTAAGAATGTGGTTTGAAAACTCAAATGATGCATATGTAAGATATTAAGACATAGTGTTATATAAGAAATGATCATCCAATTAAAACTATATATGATATTTTATAATAATAATCATTTTATGTTCAAAAGGATAAGTATATACTACATATAAAAGAAAAAAAACCTATGGTTTTATTTTTAGAATCAGAGGTTTTAGTAGACTAATATGTCAATCATCTTAGAAGCAAACTTTCCCTTTTATTAATAGCTGACAATAAGCAACAATTATATGCTAGGTACTAACTTTTTTACATATAATATGAAGCACTTCACGAATTTGCATGTCATCCTTGTGCAAGGGCCATGCTAATCTTCTCTGTATCGTTCCAATTTTAGTATATGTGCTGCCGAAGCGAGCACGCTAGGTACTATCTTAAGTACTCTCCATGAATGAACTAAATCGTTTCCAACAACCTACATAGATTTCATTATTTTTTCCCCATTCTATAAAGAAATTGGGTTGCCAGACATGGTGGCGCATGCCTTGAATCCCAGTACTCCAGAAGAGGCAGGGGTATCTCTGTGAGTTCAGGTCCAACCTGGTCTAGAGAGTTCATGGACAGTCAGGGCTGTTATACAGAGAAACCCTGTCTCAAAAAACCAAAATGAAAGAAACTGGGTAACAGAAATATTAATATAATAATAATATAATTAATATAATAATACTATCATATACTAACTGAAAATAAAACAATGAATTTAATCTCTAAATGAATTTTAATTACAAATCTCAAGAAATGAAATCTATAATATTAAGTTCTACGAATGAAATTAGAAACAGTGCACTTAGGTGGGCAGTGCTGGCACACACCTTTAATTCAAGCACTCAGGAGGCAGAGGTAGTGGCAGGCAGATCTCTGTGAGTTTGAGGTAAGCACGGTCTACAGAGAAAGTTAGGACAGCTAGGGCTACACAGAGAAACTCTATCACCAAAAAACAAACGAAAAAGTGCACATATTCCACATTTAATTATCTTTATAACAATACTTAACAATTAAGAACAATAATTATAAACACTGAACATTTCAAGGTTTATTGAATAATAAAACACCCTATTTAAATTACCTATGACAAATTACTTGATAGAAAACATGTATCAAATAAAATATCATGTATGATACTCTCTGGCAACATATATATATATAAATAAAACATATATAACATATATATATATATATAATATAGTGCCCCTTTAGTCCATGTACAACTTTAAAAGTAAATATTTAGTTTTCATTATATTTAGTATTGTATATGTGTGGTGCTTATGGAAGACAGAAGAGGGACTCAGAGCCACTGAAGATAGTTACAGATGGTGTGAGCTGTCTGACATGGGTGTTAGGACCTGAACACAATTATCTGGAGGAGTAGTAAGCACTGAGTATTACACTCAGGGAGTCAGGCTTGGCAGAAAGTGCCTTTAATCATTGAGACATCTCACTAATACCCCTCCCCATTCAACATTTTCTTTTAGCATCTTGCACAATTTTAATATATTTTAAAAATTTTTTCAATCCTTCCAAATGTTGGCTAAGTACAAACATCTATTTGTAACCAGAACCTGGTTCCTCCAATATAAGTTTTCCATTGTTAGATAATGGCAACTCCATTTTGCTAGCGGTTTTGGCAGAAGACCTTGGGTTACCCTTAACATCTTTTCTCTATACGCAGCAACAAATTCTGATGGTTTATCTTAAAAGATGTCCTTAACTTGACCATTTCTACTACACCTCTACTACTTTCTCTTTAGACAAAGTCACCACGTTTCACTTTCACGTTCTTCTTAGCCAATTCTATTATATGCCAGCAGCTGGTACCAACTGCAGATACCTCTGTGATTTATTTAGCCTAATTTTCTGAAATTGTGTACTAAAACATCAATTTTCTATCATCTATGTCATTTTTAAAAAACAAATTTAACAAAAAAACTACATTTAACTGGAGATAATACTTAGGCTGAGCATAATGACACATAGAATTAGATTCTGGCACCTGGAAGGCTGAAGCAGGAAGAACAAGAGTGTGAGGCCAATCACCTGAGCAAAAGCGATCATAATTATTTCAAAAACAGTTATTAGAGAAAGACCATTCCAGATCTCCCAAATAATGGCTCAAGTCTCATTTGTATTGTAAGGTAAAATTTTATTCTTTTCAGTGCGAGGCATCAAAGTCAAGGCCTTGTGCACACTAAGAATACAGTCTACAAATGAACCACAATCAGCCCTGAGGTAGGTGTATAACCAGCCCAAAGGTCCAGTGCTGTGTTATCAATGGAGAACACTCTGTTATCTGTACAACTGCTAGTGTAAGGGCACCCGAGAAGCCAGGCAGGAAGATTTTGAGTCTGGGCTACTCAGCAAGTTTCAGGCCAGCCAGGAGACACAGTGCCCTCCCCAAAAAAACAAAATAAAAAAAAAAAAAAACAACCCAAAAGTCAAATAATCACAACAAAAAGACAGTTTGCCTTATTCGTCTCTAAACAAAATAATTCAGCAGCAACTCCTTCTCCAGCAGATGAATTTAAGCCATTTTTCAGCAGACTTCTCACAACTCAGTTTAGCATACCCTTTTCCGTTGGAATACTCAAGGTAATCTCAGCTGAGATTAAAAAGCTATGGATGCCCATGTACCAGAAATGCAATTTATGCTCCACAATCAATGCAAAGTGTGCTGTAAAGACAAGTCAATTCTGCAGAAGCAGAGACTGATATAGGAATCTGGTTTCAGTCAATGAAGGTCAGAAAGGGGCTGAGCAATGAAGAAACCCTAAGGAAAAATCAATCCAAATTATATATTTATAAATCACTAACCTACCAATACAGTACTTTTGTGAACAGTCTAGTCTTTCGATAAGCTCTTCCTTCTTCCTTCCTTCCTTTTTTTTTGAGACAGGTTTTCTCTATATAGCCCTGGCTGTCCTGGAACTCAGGGATCTGCCTGCCTCTGCCTCCCAAGTGCTGGGATTAAATGTGTGCACCACTACCACTTGGCGTATTTTCAAATTTTATTAATGACAATTATTTCAAATGGATGATAGTCACCAACAGTTGGATTTAATGTACTGATCCTAGCTCTGTTGGAAAAGCTGAAAGACACCTATCTAAAGCATTGTGTTTTGATAGAAAGCATGGAGAACAAGAGTAAAGAAAAGTAACTTGTTTTGCTTGTGCTGTGAGCTTCTATTTACCTATAAAAAGGGACTAAGGAAGATGTGATGATGCCCTGTGCAGGAGGGAAGGGTAGGACCCAAAACAAGGAGCTGAAACAGAGAACAGAGAGCTCTGGGAGATGGAAGGAAGATGGACAGGCTGTCTGACACAGGACTTTCTTTGAGAAAGTCTGTCTCTCCGTCCTTCCGTTGTTCCACCCCCCTCTCTAACAGGGTCTCACTATGTAGTCCCGGCTGGCCCCAAACTCACAGAGAACTCACCTGCCTCTCAAGCGAATCTTGGCCATTTCTAATGTAGGTTGGCTGTTTTAGAGGAAACTCTTCTATGGGTGGTAAACTATACTAGACAATAGCAAAGAAATCCTCGCTGAACTCACTCTAGGCATCAAGTCCACAGTTTGTTTTTAAATTAATCTAGACATTTTGTTACAGCCTTCTTGCTCCCATTCCTCCTAGAACATTTTTTTTTTAGTACAACATCATTCAGAAATATAGCAAATCTAGTTTCTAGGTCACTGCAAGATGAAAGTAAAAGAGCAATGAAATAGTCACTACTTAGGACATGGAGAAATAGCCAAGAGCAGGGATTAGTTAAATAAACCAGAAGATTTGCTTGACTACTATTTTTTTTTATTAACCAGTAAATAAAGGTAGAAAGATGTTTTAAACATTGAAAATTCAGCTGCAATTCACTGAGTATGTACTCTATATAAATAATATCTGTCTCATACTCACTTTATATTTGATACTTGGCTAAAACTATATAAGAGAGTTGGCTTAACTTTTATTATACTGATGATAAATCTGCAACCAAGGATTAGTGATGGCTAGACACTCAAAGGGCAAGTAAGTCTAGAAAAGAATTAAATTGCAGTATTCCCAGCCACTGCTGGTCCTTTCTGTTGCTAAGGTTCACAGCTACAAAGCAGAAATTCTAAGTCCTAACTTGATACATTTCCCCCTAACTCATTAAAAAGGCAAAAACTACGCGGGCAGTGGTGGTGCATGCAACCCTGCACTCAGGAGGTAGAGGTGGGTGGATCTCTGGGAGTTCGAGGCCAGCCTGGTCTACAACAGCTAGGGCCGTTACATACAGAAACCCTGTCTCAAAAAACCAAAACAGGAAAAAAAAAAAAAAAACCCACATAAAGCTTTTGCTTGTTTTATTTCCAAATGAATTTCAATCAAAATTTTCCTGGTTTGCTGAGAATTAAACTTTAAAAGTTAGAATATCCAATAATTATTAATTCATTCCACGACATTAAAATAACTTTTTAAAATAATTTATAATCTAACCAGATGAAAGCATTTTCTAGTCAATGCTGGAGAAAAATCTGTTGTAGTTCCTTGTAGCTGAAATATGTGCTAACAGTGTTCTATTAGCTTAGGTCAAGAGGACAATCAAACTAAAGGTAGTCTCTAGCAATAGACAATATATCAACTGCTACTAGACAAAGGAGGTATTTTTCCAATTCATCTATGACCAAAACACTTCCCAGGCACTGTACAACCCTGAGAAACTGCTACCTCTGTAGTCAGCAGAATCAGGCAAAGTTCTACTTTTCTGGCTGTTTGGGAACCAATTATCACCACCACACTAAAAAGCCAAAATCTGAAACAGCTGGCAACATATCTTTGGTGTTTCAGTTTAAAATTAGAGTAAGCCTACTTAACTGGTATTCCAGACACATTGTGAGCCAAATATTAGATTTCATTAGCCTCCATTCAAAGCACCAGATACTAAGGATCAATCAGGACAAGCAACTT